ACCCTGACTTTGAATCAGATAGAAGAAATGTGCGACTAGCTATAGCAACTGATGGTTTCACACCATTTAATCTAAATGCTGCTCCTTATTCATGTTGGCCAGTCTTTGTGACCCCACTAAATTTACCACCTGGCACACTCTTAAGATAGGAGTATATTTTCCTCTCCCTTGTTCTTCCTGGTCCAAAGCACCCTGGTAAAAAGTTGAACATTCTAATGCAGCCCTTAGTTGATGAACTTCAAGACCTATGGGTAGGGGTTAATTCTTGGGATGCTTCGGTAAAGAAAGAATTTACATTAAGGGTAGCCTACCTTTGGTCTGTACATGACTTCATGGCATATGGTGACTTTGCTGGATGGAGCACACATGGTAGATTGTCATGCCCATATGGATATGGGTGCAAAGGTTTTACACTACGTAATGGTCATAAGGCTTGCTGGTTTGATTGCCACAGGAAGTTCCTGCCTGTTGATCATGAATTTAGACAACAAGCAAATGCATTCCGTAAGAACACTAGGGTTTCTGAGGAGCCTCCTAGTATCTTAACAGGAGAGGAAATGCAACGCCATTTGGATAGATTTGTAGGTGATTCAGATACCTATGGAAAATTGCATAATTGGACACATGCACTTTGCTTTAGGCAGCTTCCATATTTCTAGAAACTTCTTCTACCTCACAATATTGATGTGATGCACAATGAAAAGAATATAGCTGAAGCCATATGGAACACATGCTTTGATATAGGAGATAAGACCAAAGATAATGTGAAGGCTAGGCTAGATTTAGCTCAGATTTGTAATCGTCCTTCGCTCCATTTGGTGCAAAGAAACAATGGGAAGTGGGATAGGCCAAGAGGTCCATTCTGTATTAGGAAGCGTGCAACACTGGAGTGGGCAGATTATTTTTTTCTAGATCCTGCGAATCAAACGGGAGTGTCAAGTGTAGATCATGTGCTTTCTGAATTTTGGGTAAGCAACACATAATTTTTCAAGTTAGGAGTATAACAGGCACAGATAAGTTGCTTTTGTTGATCTAGCTTGTCTTGTACACATGCAGCGCTTGTTTGAAGTCAGTATAGATGACCAAGCAGAGGCTGATCGTGTTCTTGAAAAATATTTGAAGAAAAGAGTTAAGGACCTGTTGTATCAATCCCGTGTGGATTGTGTGAAGGAGTACTACAGGGATCCCAATACACTTGAAACAATTGATGATGCACATGCTCGCCCGATACAGCTGCAGTATGAACAATACTTGGCTGGTAGGCTGAAGTGGTGCAGTGATGAGGTGTGGCCTAGGCTGTGTGCTTATTGGTGCACTGATGATTTCAAGCTAAAACGAGCGAGAGCATAGGAATGTCACTTCAAATCACAAGATATTGCTCAAAATCGTGGAGGTTCAAGGCCATTCACGGAGACACAACAAGTTCTGGTATGATACCCTTGCTAATGAGTGTCTTCTTACTCGTAAGAATCTGTAAAGACTACTATTTGAATTATAAGTGCTATATCTGACAGAAAAGTGATAAGAGAAACCTCAGAATGTAACAAACAGCCAATCTGGACAAACAGACAAATTATTTTTTTAGCACAAGGTAATCTCGTCCAATATGAAAACAACCAATATGACATATGGCTGAGGATTACTAGCAAATCTGCATGTTCTGAACAAGTACAGATTACTATTTTTTCTATTTCTTTGCTGATGTTTACATTGAAAACCTATTCTATCTTATAGGGAAAGAACTTTGGTCCAGCAAAGGCAACATTTATGAACACATTTGCTATGATGCATTCTGGTTTCAAAAGTGTGGATAGCACTGGCAGTAGTGGTCCAATTCGTTGTTAGAAAGCACAAAAGCTGATTGTAAGCACGCTCTACTTTGATATATGGAAACCATTTACTTTTTAGATTCTTCTTTTATGGTGCAAATGACTACTTTATGTATGAACATTGTTTCTAGGATGACTATATGTCAGCTGTTAGGAGGGTTGCACATCCAGATGAAGTGGGTGGAGAGCATGAGCACATGGAAGGGGAAGGGGATGTGGAAGAGGAAAGCCAGCAAGTGCATGAGCAAGAATTGAATGGCAAGGTCTTGTATGACCTCTCTGGTGGCACGCCCCATGGACGATTTGCCATTGCAAATGGTGCTGTTAGGGCAGCTGATATCAGGGCAGCCGCGAAGGAAAACAATATCCGTCCATCAAATTCAGTTTCTATGCAAAGCATGGCACGAGAAGTTGCACATCTACGCTCTGAAAACACAAGGCTACAACAGGAAAAAGACAATGTAGGAAAAATGGCACTAGGCTTGATAGTGGTATGTGCAAATATCTGAATCTAAGATTTGTTGTTTCGAACAACATTTGTTCACATTAACGTGGTACATATTCGTGTGCAGCGACTTTATCGGCGCGTGGGCGAGGAAGTTCCAGAGGAAGCACTAAGCATTCTATCAACAACACAACCAACTGTGAGTATATAAAAAATATTCTATTAGCTATAAATCATAGATGGAAAATAAACAAAGTGAAGGAAATTTTACTCTTCTTTGTATGGCATTCAATTTAGGCATTTTACTCTTCTTTGTATGGCATTCAATTTAGGCATTTGGCTCCTATGTTTCAGTTAGCCTAACTAGAGCTTTTTGGTATTCAGCATGGCAGTACCCAGTGCACCAGTGAGGAAGTGGCCTCATGTTGATTCTTTTGTAGCTATGGACTTTAGTTGCACAGAATCACATAATCATGTTACACTGAGATTCCAATGTTCACATCTGGTGGTAAGGTAGAAATTCACACTTTTTCGGTTTTGAAGAACTGGGAAGAATTAGTATGTTATGCAAATAGGACACCACAATTTCTGTTAGCTGAACTGATTCTGGACTAGTGGTATTAAAATAATTAGTAAACTATTCTTAGCTGAACATGTATACCTTAGTCAGTAACACATTCTTAGGTGAACATCTTTTGTTTTCAGCTGAACATCTTAGCTGAACATTCTTAGCTGAAAACAACTTTTGTTTTTAGCTGAACATGTTTTAGCCTTGTACTCATATTGACTGAAACACATGCAACCCGGTGACTAATAATCTTTTACTTTTTCACATGCAGCCGATGACTGAATCATCTCATGTGGGTTCCGAATTGACTAATGACGATGTTGCAGCAAATGAGAGACTCCATGGTGGAAGTAGAGCTGCATTGGAAACCAGGAACTATCATAATGAAGCCACATGTGCAGGTGCTGGTGCTGGTGCTGATCTCACTGAAGACTGAATGGCTGTGTAGCCTGTTCTTTTGAAGTGTTTGCCCCTGCATACAATTTGGTTGGTACTAACCTTCAGCTAGTTCTTAGTGGCATGGATGTTGAGCTAGTACTAACCTTTAGCTCGTATTCTTTTGAAGTGTTTGCCTCTGCATGCACTTAGGTCAGTACTAGTGGTGTGGTTGTTGGGCTAGTACTGATCTTTAGCTAGTACCGGTGGTGGAAGGGAGTTATGTTGATGCCAAATGTTTGGAGAAGTTATTTTGGGTAGATGGGTGTTAAATATTTGGACATCTCATGTATTTACCAATGTTGATGCAAACAAAACATCTATGTATGTAATGAATTTATGCTAGACCAATATATATATATATATATATATATATGATCGTGTATTGTATTTATCTTGGTATATGTCTCCATGGTTCAGTGTATATTATATTCAATATATCTGTTTTAAATTATATGGAAAACAATATGTCAGTTTTTTTTCTGTCGGTGTGATTTTTCCTCGCGGTTTAACATCGACAGGGAAAAGAATTTTCCTGATGGTCCTCTTTCGACAGGGAAATCACCACCGACAAGGAAAATATATTTCCCTGATGGGAAGAAATCGATAGGGAAAACAGGCACCGACAGGAAAAAAACAAGTTTTTGACGGTGTGCAGACCGTCAGGGTAAATGATATAATAACTTGTCGGTTTTGCACCGCCAAGGAATTTTATTTCCTTGTCGGTAATCCATTTTTTTGACGGTTTCTACCGTCAGAGAAAAGAGATTTTTCTTGATGGTTTTGCAATTAACCTGTGGGTTATCCACCGTCAGGAAATTAAAATCGTATTTTCCTGACGGTACACCGTCAGGGAAATAGCATTATCCCTGTCGAGCCAGCCCTAACGGTTATTCCCTGGCGGTTCACCGTCAGGGAATTTACTTTTAAATTTCCTTGACGGTGTTTTACATTTCCCTGACGGTCCGTACACCGTCACGGAATTTTGGCTCTCCAGTAGTGATTTCTAACTGCTCCAAATATACTTTTGTGCCTATATACCTACTACCCCAGAGATATATCTAGGATCCACACTGTGTAGGTCAGATCATTTACATACTATATTGGATTTCAATTAAAACTATGCATTTACATGAAAAGCATATGAATCACAAATAATTAATACAGTGGTTGATGGATGAGATATATCTAAGGTTGAAAACGGCCGGAAATAATCCTGTTCCGACCCATTCCGTTTTCTACTTTCTTCCGTCTGTTTTCGTATTTGTGGGATCCCGTTTCCGTATTTACAGAAACAGGAAAGAGGTTTTCCGTCCGTCCGTCGAGATCTGGTTTTTATCTAGAATTGACCCGTATTTATTCCGTTTTTCATCCCATTTTCAATTTATGTGAGATATGTCTAAAAATTGATATATTCATAAACCTACTAATCACAAATTATCCATGTTAACACATGGTATACTAGTGAATATTGGATCAATAATTTCGTATGTGTATATTATTTTGTGACATGGTTCATGTATACTTAAGAATATTTGATCATGTTATTCTAACTTATTTATCCGGCTCTCCGTCCGTATTTGTCTGTTTCCGTATTTTCATATATCTCCATCTGTTTTTAATTCTATTTTTTCTCGAACCCGATCACGTTTCCACTAAAAATATAGAAAGGGAAATGAGAGAGGAGTTTTTTCATCCGTTTTCATCCCTAGATATATCGTGCATGCAGAACTGGTATTGCTACGCCAAGACGGTGGCCGAGCAGGGCGCATGGGAGGTGGCGCGGAAGCGAGGCCCCCTGGACCTGATCGTGGTGAACCCGCCGGTGCTGTTGCTGGGTCCGTTGCTGCAGCCGACGGTGAACGCGAGCACGGACCACGTGATGAAGTACCTGACGGGGTCGGCCAAGACGTACGTGAACGCCGCGCAGGCGTACGTGCACGTCCAGGACGTCGCGGAGGCGCACGTCCGGGTGTACGAGGCACCCGACGCGCACGGCCGCTACATCTGCGCCGAGAGCACCCTCCACCGCGGCGAACTCTGCCGCATCCTCGCTAAGCTCTTCCCAGAGTACCCCATACCCACAAAGTGCGTAGCGTAGGTCGATCGATCGAGAGATGTAGTTACAGTATCAATTATACATACATTTTGTACACTCGATATATATATATATATATATATTATGATGATGATGATGATGATGATGATGATTCCTAGCTAACGCTGTAGCACGCGCACACGTACGCAGGTGCAAGGACAAGGTGAACCCTCCGGTGATAGGATACAGTTCACGAACCAGCGGCTCAAGGATCTGGGGATGGACTTTGTGCCGGTGCTGCAGTGCCTCTACGAGACAGTGAAGAGCCTCCAGGAGAAAGGCATGCTGCCCGTGATTCAGCCAAAAGACGACCAGGACCAACTCCACAAATCATGATTATTCCAACGCTGATACTGCAGAGGCAAATACTAGTACGTAACGGATTTGCAGAGGCAACTACATACTACTCTCTCCATTCCGTTTTACCAGGCGCCAACACTAGTATTCCAGATACCAAGAAAAATTTAATCCCAGCTTTGTTTTCTAGCTCCCCCTTTATTTAGTGGAGCCGTTATCAATGACATGCACCAAAGGGAGGAGAAGCGTCCAATAGAATTAGAGATCAATTATACATGCACGCATGTATGGAGTTAGAAAAGCAAATAAAACGCTTGGTAACTGCTGCGTACCATTTAATAGCACCGCATGTTGCGGTGTACGCCTGGTAAAACGGCCATTCTCGAAAACGCGCTCACGCCCGGTAAAACGGAACGGAGGGAGTAGGACTTAAACGCTAAACAGTGCCGATTCCAAAAGCCTATCAATGCCGGACTTTTGATCTAGCAATACATAGTCCGCAGTGTTGGTGCAGGGCTACCACTGCTGGTGCTACAACTTATAATGATGAGCGTTTAAAAAGAAAAAAAACTCGGATCTCCTAGATCTGTCTGCTCGCTGCCATCGCACAACGGGGCGCACTCACACCGCCGCATTTGGGACACCTACCCTTGAGGAGGAGGAAGAAAATGGAGGGGAGAAGGCCGCTGTGTCCGCCCACGCTACCCCCACCAAGGCGTCCCTCACATAGAAGCCACTCGCTTGAGCTGTGCCATCCACCAAGCCACTTGCGAAGCCTGAGGTGAAGGGGGCTATCACCAATAGGCAAGTTGTCAGGGAGAGAGAGAGAGAGAGAGAGGGAGAGAGACCACCCTGGAGCCTATGCCACCCATACGAGCAAGTGGCATGAGAGGGCACTGCTGTTGAGTCAAGCTGCTGGGGAGAGACACTGCTTAAAAGAAGATGTGTAGCAACGTCTCCATTCTTTTTTCTAGATTGAGCTGCCCAATAAATGGTTCCCAAAACGAGTGCTTCTATAAATTTATTTGTAGGGACGGTTGGTGTTATCAGCCATCCCTATAAATAGACGTTGAATAGTAAAAATTAAGTACTAAAATTTAAATTTGTCAAATCACCTCAGGAGAAATAAACAAAATAAAAGTTGTAGATCTCAAAAAGTTATAGAACTTTATAGTTGATAACTTTTTTATTTTGTCGGTGCAGAAAGTGACCAACACGTAAATATTTGTAGTTTTGCCATACGTTGTGATCGGATGTGGCCTAGCACTTAATGACACAGGGTTTATACTGGTTCAGGCAACGTGCCCTACATCCAATTTGAGTCGGTCGGTGACTTTATTCCTGGGCCCAGGTGCTTGAAGTTTGATGTGGGGTTACAAACGAGAGGGAGAAAGATAGGGGTGCAAGAAGTCCGGTCGGACTCCAGACCGAAGGGTTGAGAGTGACGGGAGCTCCTACGTGCGCTAAGTATTCGAGCGTGTGCTCTGTGTAGCTTTAGAGTGTCTAAAGCTAATAGAGAGTGGATCGATCGTTGGTGGTTCGAATTGTTAGAGAGTCCTCGGAGTTGTTTGTGTCTGTGAGATTGATCGTTTTCATTGGGAGAGAGCGCATCCCCTTTTATAGATGAAGGGGACGGCCTTACAAGCGAGCGAGAGAGAGAGAGTACGTCTACTAAGTCTTGTTGTCCACGCCGTCGGGTACAAGATGATTGTAGGTGCCCACAACACTGTTTATGCCGACGCATGTGGGAGGTTTTACCGCATTCACCATGTAATGCAAATGACGGCGCCCACAATACTGTTGATGCCCAGAGGCATGTGGGGGGTTTTACTGTGTTCGCCTGGTATGGGAATTGATGGCGCCCATAACACTGTAAGGCAAAACGTCGGCGCCCACAAAACTGCTTGGGTTTTGACATGCCTGGAAGGTTGCAGGGCACCGTTCTGACATGTCCTGTCGGTACTGTCCCGCAGGTGTATAGGGTACGGTCCTTGGTTTTGCGGTTGACTTGAGTGCCCTGCCTTACTTGCTCCGTCCGTTTCTTAGGTCCTCACCGAGCAGGCGTTCCCGGTCGGTTGGTCCTAGTCGGCTCTGACTGCGCCAGTCAGAGAAGAGCTGTAGATGTCAAATGACCTCATATGGAGAAATAACCAAAATAAAAGTTATAGATCTTAAAAAGTTATAGAACTTTATAGTTGATAACTTCTTCATTTGAAATCATTTTGTCAAGAAAAATTACGTTTGAATTTCTCAAACTTGAAATTTGAATTTTTAGATGGAGAAATAACCAAAACAAAAGTTATAGATCCCAAAAAGTTATACAACTTTGTAGTTGACAACTTTTTCATTTAAAATCATCTTGTCAAGTAAAACTATGTTTGAATTTCACATTTGAAATTTGAATTTTTCACATGACCTCAAATGGAGAAACAACAAAAACAAAAGTTGTAGATCTCGAAATGTTATACAAATTTGTAGTGACAACTTTTTATTTTAAATCATCTAGTTGAGGATAATTATGTCTAAATTTCCAACATTTCAAATTCAATTTTTTCAAACGGCCTTCGATGGAGAAACAACAAAAAAGAAAGTTGTAGACCTTGAAATGTTATAGAACTTTGTAGTTGACAACCTTTTTATTTGAATTCATTTAGACTCCGAAACAATCATTTTAAGTTCGGTTCAGCATAATATGAGTAGAAAGAATATATAATATAGACATAAGTGAGTGTTGGGTTTAGTGGTTAGAGGAGGATCATGTGTGGTTGAGGTTGACCCAATGGTTGAAAAGCATGTTTTTGCGCAATTTTTTTTCTTACAAAATGGAATTTTGATTTCTGCAAAATGGATCTGTGTTTTCACGCGGGTGTGTGTCTGCCCGGTGCGACCCTCCTGAGATTAAAAAATTTGCTATTTTTGGTCCAGATTTGTGATTTCTGCAAAATAGATTTGTAGGGGCAGCTTGTTTTTTAGCTGCCCCTATAAATCGTCAGCCGCCCCTACAAACCGCCTCTACAAATCAGTGATTTGTAGAGGCGCCTGCGTAGGGGCGGCCGGGCAAACCACCCCTACAAACCCTCGTTAGCCACCCCTACAAATCGTGCATGTAGTGGTGAGATAGAGATAAGTATAGAAGGGGAGAGTGCTAGGGAGAGGGATGACAAAGGGAACAATTTGAGAGCATTCGGACTTAACCATTTTTAGGTGCTGAACATGAGGCTATATTAACTACATTTTTTATTTTAGTTTTGGATCTAGGGACTAGATGACTAATGGTTTGAGTTAAAATCTATTAGTGGTACTAACGTTGCCGGGTTGTACCCGGTTGAATTTAAAATCTATCAGTAATATTCTTTTTGCATACAAACCGTAGTGATACATGTATCACCTTTTGATTTGAAACTCCGATAGTCATGGTGTTGATGGTTGCTAACTCATTATTTCATACCATTAACCATACTAAATCAGGGAATAGAAATGACATCCACCACCATAGGTAAAGGACTTCATTCTAATCAACTGCAACAGTTTTGGTGACTACGTGAGTGCAGGAATAAAGGATGTGGATTGATACTGGTAGGTTGGGTGACCTACCCATGCCCCGTATAAGCCCACCACATCATCCTATGACATAAGACACAGTAAAAATCATCTCATGTGTTGGTTGAATGATGGTTCACACATTGATTGTCTGAATCAAGCCAAGTGGAGAGTACAAGGTTCTAAGGACCCATCCAATAGGCTAATATACTTCAATCGCACTGAGTACCACACTTCATAAGGATCATAAATCAACGCACTAAGGAGGACGAATGAGAAAGTTGGCTGGGCCACTTTGGGCGAAGCCCAATGAGATCAGTCGAACTCACAAATAGACCACCACCTCAGACAACCTCAAATACCTTCCAACCGCTGTTGAAAGTGATCAGGAGCCATGATGTACTAGGATGGTGGATCCAATGGTCAGCTGACCTAAGTGGAGGTCGCCCAACCTCACTTAGGAACTCCATCACCTCACACTTGTCTACAATACCCCTTCTACTTCTTGACCCTATATACACCTATATTGGCACCACTCTTGAGCATGGAAGCAAGGAGAAGACTCTGAATACTTGGCGGACCAGTACCACTTAGTCTTTAGAAAATTGGGGGATATTAGGGGGAGCTGGAAGAGGAGCCTAGGTTGTCGGATTCATCTTCCACTTGTACCATGACGGATGCAGCTCTTGTTTGAGTGAAATCCGAGATATTCTATGGTAACTCTTGTCTCTTTTATAGCTTAAGATGTGATTCATATTATTGTCATTTATAGGTTCATGCCTGACGAGATACTAACATATGGGTATGTTAAGCCTCAGGTCTGGTGGCTCCTAAAGGAAGAAGACCCTTGAACGAACCCTCTAGGATCACCCGGGGGCTATACCCATCGGGTACGCTCACGCGCACCCTCTGAGAAGAAACCTGACCGAGCCTAACTCCGCCGCAACCTCCGCTTGGGGCTCGGGGGCTTGCCTGAGACCCCAGGCTCTTGATCTATGCCAACACTCTGGCCTGGCCCTTGGCTCCAACCCGATAGACGATGCCAGCCAAGGCCCGGGCACAAGAAGACAAGCCCCGAGCTACTGAGGCTCAGGGGCTCCCCGGCGCTACCCCTTGGGTATGGCATTGCCGTCCACTTTCTCGACAAGGTCATGCACGGGCTGTGACACAAGAAGACAAAGCTTCCAAGTGGCCTCCAGAGGCTTGGGGGTTCCCGGGCCTGCACATCAGCCCCTGAAGCCGACCTCCTTCACCATGAAGAAGACTCTAGAAGGTCCACCTGGGGAGGCCGATCTAAGCCAACATAGCCTGACACGCAGAGTGTCAGAACAGAGTAGTCGGATGATGCCCAAGGCTTCTTTGGCTCCACGACACCGCCATAGTCCACAACGCGTCGTTGCAAGGCCCTCCTAGACTCCGGCGCATGTAAACCGTAGACTAGTTCCCCAAACCACCATGTACCCAACCTATCTCATTATATAAGGGATAAGGTTAGAACT